GCGGTCACCCAACTCGAGTAACTTGCCACTGATTTTGCCGGGCCAACGCCGGGTATCACCGCTAGTACCCTAATACTTTTCCTCCCTCGCAGATAAATCCACGCTGTGAAAATTAAGCCACGCCTTTTGCTTTATTACGAGCCTTTTTGTGTAGCGCAAGAAACCTAGGGGGAGCGAAAGAGGAGATGGGAGGAAGAGGAGGGAAAAGAGGCGCAGGAGAAGGGAAAGGGAGGAGGAGGGGAGGGAGGAAGCAGGAGGAGAGGCGGGCGGTCAGGGAGAGGAGGTAAGCGGAAGGAGGAGTGAGGAGCGGGGATGGAGGATAAGGAGGCGGGGGGAGTAGGCAGGAGGAGGGAGGGAGATGGAAGGTAAGAGGAGAAGGGGGAGGCAGGAGAAGGAAAAGAAGGATGGAGGAGAGGAAGGAGGCAGGAGGAGAAAAAGTGCGGAAGGCATGAAGTGCCGGCACGCCGGGAGACGCGACTGTCAGCTACATTAACGAACAGTAGTCTCTCTCCCTTCCTCTCTTCTCTTTTCTCTCTTTCTCGCTCTCTCACCTCTGCTTCTCTGCTCTCTTTCTCTTTCTCTTTCTTCTTTATTCTCTCCCGCTCTCTCTCTCGTTCTCTCTCTCTCCCTCTCTCCCTCCACCCCCTCTCTCTCTCTCTCTCGCTTGCGCGCTTGTTCGCACTCCAGCCTGTAACAATGGCAAACACTCATAATGCTCAGATATTCTGGCCTCAGTCCATTATAATAGAGGTTGATAGCCTCAATACAAAATAGCAACAAATATATTACAGCGTTAATAAAAAAATAAAAAAAGAAAGCAAGAAATAAAGAACGAGAGAAAGAAATAGAGCAAGAAAAAAAAAAATGATATGCATATATTATATACATATGTATATTATTATACACAGAGAAGGTATATTGCACATTATTCTCTTGTTATCTCTCTCTAGTACAGGGGGTAAGCTAACCCCTTGTGCATTTTTTGATAAAAGCACTAATTTTGGCACAGGCGTAGGCCAATTTTCCAAAATGGCCGCCAGCAGACACCCAAAAGACACACAGAAGTTAGATAAAGTTTGCTGCTGAAGGTTTTAGTGAATGTTTATTAAATGTTTTGAATCAAGACATGCCAGATAGCTCTTATAGTCACATTTTGAGAGATGCTGCTGATATTAATTAACATATTTAGGCTAATTGCAGATGAAATAGCGACAAGGAAACCCATGATCCGGCATCAAATGCTGACATTCCTTGTGAATAGACTAGATTCATTTAAGTTGTGGAAATGTTATCTAACCTTCTTCCTCTGTCTGTCAATAGCGATTTATTGACACTGCCCACGCCAATTAAGATGCCAATTAACAAAATTATTAACACAATTAGGCTAATTACATCGATAATACAACAACAATAACAGAACCAGATAGTGATAATTATGGTATGCTTGCTCTCATCAGATCAATCCTGGGCAAGTCAAATGTTATACTTCTGTGGTCAAGGGACACTACTACATTTAATTATCATGTTAATTAACAGATAATCTGCTAAATGTAATATGCAGATAAGTGCACTGTTTTACAGTACCTGTGTACTGTCTGGAACAGTTCAGAATCTTTATATTAAGTTTGCGAGTTTAGTTCTGAAAGCACTCCCCGTCGCAAGTACACAGTGGTGTGCATTCCAGACTGGCCTTCTTGCAATTGCACCTCTTGATGCAGCCCTTCTGGCACTTGCAGGAGATAAGCTCGCGGCAAACCTTGGATGCCTCGGGGAGCGTTGTCCAGAGAGGTTCGTACATGTCGCTGGTCTCGATTCAACCCCAGTTGGTTGGTGATGGCAATGTTGGTGCAGGAACCAGGGCCTGACCCCAGACATGTCCGCCCTGGTATATTGCTCGTCGGACGTGCTGCTTCAGGGCTGCACTTGTCGGTGGGATCAGCTGGACATTGCTCTTCTTTGCAAACAGTTTGCGGCGTGCCTTGTCGATATCGGTTGCGGTGCTTGTTCTGTCGTTAAGCAGGATGACGAACCTCTCGATGGTGTGCATGGCATCTTCATCAATATGATCTGGTGCAGTGGAGAGGGCAGTGAGTGTCTGGGTCAGCTGAGGTAGAGCTGTCCACACTGCCCATGCTGTCCTCTTGCCATGTTCGGCGAAGCAGGAGGCCGTGTCGCGGCCCGTCAAAGCATGAAACATCGGAAGTGCCTGTGCTTTCTCAGGGCCCAGAGCCCGCGCCATCTCATGGGCTGCCAAGAACCGGAAAGCCTTGCCCGTGCCTAAAGACACCCACACTTCGGCTTCCTTCTCCAGGTTGCGTACCAGAGCCACTGTCAAGACAACAACATCAGTGTCAACTGTGCGGATGAGGATCTTCTTGTGGCCATTGTGAGCAGCGTGGGCAACGTCATGAGCTGTCATGATGTTGAGCTTCGTGGTTGCAAGGGCTGCAGTATCTAGGAGCGGTGGCTTGCTCAAGACATCATCTCCTTCAGTGATGACTAGCTCCTTGTCTGCAAGCTGGAATGAGTCGTGGAGGACGCCAGAGAGGAAGCTGAACAGTTCTTTCTTGTTCTTGTCGACTCTGAGGAAGCTGGCCCAGTTCCCGGGGATCGTTGCACCACCCACCACCCATCTTCTCACCCCTTTTCCGCGCTTGGCTCCTGCTGTAACCTTTAACGAGTCTGTATTGTAGCGGTCCCATACCCGGTCCAGTCGCGTGGCTTGATGGAGTTTTGAGAGTATGTAGGGCACAAAGACCTGCTGTGCATACTCGTTGAAGCTTTTTGCTGTAGCTGGCTTCAGCATCTGGATGATGACCGCTCCATCTAGCACAATGCAGCTGGTTGGAGGTACCTCAGACTTGGGCTAACTGGGGGCAGGCTGGTTTTCATGTTGGAAGAATTGCTCTAGATTCCTATCCCGGTTCTGGCACCAGATATACAGACGAGAGAACAGGTCCGCGTCATTCTTGAGGGATTTTATCTGCTGATTGCCCTTTCCCGGCGGTTTTGAAGCAAGCTGACCGAAGCTATTCAGCTTGTTTCTTTGGATGGCATGTCCTATGGGTTTCGTTCTCTCCACTAGGCGGTCTCTGACGAAGTTGTCAAACTGCAGCTGACCCACTTCGTGTGCATGACGGAGGGCGTCTACAGCTCCAGGTGGCGCGATCTCCTTGGTGAGTACCAGCAGATATTGACTCTCCTCTTCAAATGGATTTCCCAAGTCTTCCATCACGTTGACCATCAACTGTGCATATTTCAGGAAAGGAGTCTGCACACTTGCTGACTGGTCATGGTGCCTTGTGTCTTGTGGTCTGTTCCCCGGGTCAGTTTCTTCGTGGAACGGTTCGATGAGCATGGCAACCTCTGGTTTTGCCATCATCCACTATCGTAGAGCGCTGGAGTTGTCAGTAAGGCCCACTGCACCCCAGTTTCCTTTGATGGCAGCATTGTTCTGCTCGTGGGCCTGATTGACGCGGATGGGGGAGAACGACCTGTTCGTCTTCTGGACGGTGAAGTTCCCATCTCGGAATTCTTGGGCTATTTCAGGGTGTGTCGTCGGCAGTTTCACCATGTCTTGTAGATGCACAGGAATCCAGCGCGCGTAGTTGGTGTGATCCAGGGCATGAAACCACACTGCTAGTTCTGTCAGGGCATCTAGGTACATCACAAACGTAGCTTGGCGCAGAGAGCGCACGTACACCAGGACCGTCACCTCCAGTTGCAGGACAGTTACCCAGTAGTCGAACTGGGGGCAGGTCTCCGCCTTTTGCTGGCACCAATCGTCGAACTCCAGCTGCTCGTTGCGTGTGTCACCCAGCTGGTCAATGTAGTGGCTGTAGGCGTGCTGCTGCAGGGTGAAGAGGGCTGCTGCTGTCACTTGATGAGCCCTCCTCTGACATGGGATGCCCGCAGGAAGTAGTCCGCTGTCCCGGCACTGGTGATCTCTGCCTGAACCAGTGCTTGCACCCATCTGCTCCCTTGCAGCCAGTCACCAAGGGTCTTCAGTGCTGCCATTTTGATATAAAGACCGCCGAAGAGGACGACAAACTTTTCTACAGCATACTCCTGTGGCCACTTCCACTGGATTTCCTTTGCCAAAGCAAACAGCGGCTGGTCGCATGTGACCACTGGAGTCTGGCTAGGATTGAGATGTTCCACTACAATCTTGATCATATCCATGGAGTGCTTAATCATAGCCACGGTGTGGGAGCTCTGCAGGAAGAGTGGGGGCAGTGCGGTGGGACAGATGTCCCGACTGGCTGGCATGTCCTACTGGCTTGCGTGGTATGCAGCCCATGAAGTGTTCTCCACTAGAGAAGTTTCTTGTAGGGCGACTTGGGTGTGTTTTAGCCAGATACTCTCTTTCAGCATGTTGCTTGAGGCCGCTGTTGCTGCTCATGGATGTCACGCTGGTAGCCGGCACGGGGGTGTTCCTGATGCTGCCGACGGATAGGACATCTGTATAGTAGCGCGGCCTCCTGTTTTGAGGCCTCTTTCGTTCGGCCCTCCGAGGATGATGATGCTGCGGTAAATGCCGTCCCCAGGGACCGCAGGGTGTTGCATGAGGTAAATGGCAGTCTCATGAAATGGCTGTTTTGCTGTGGTGGAACTTAGGTTGTGATCAATATTGTCTACCGCGGCAGTCGTAAAGACTTTGCCTCTCATCTTGATAGGGCAGACTACTTGTTCCTAGATTCTGAACTGTTCCAGACAGTACACAGGTACTGTAAAACAGTGAACTTGTCTGCATATTGCATTTAGCAGATCATGTGTTAATTAACATGATAATGAAATGTAGTAGTGTCCCTTGACCACAGAAGTATAACATTTGACTTACCCAGGATTGATCTGATGAGAGCAAGCCACCATAATTATCACTATCTGGTTCTGTTATTGTTGTTGTATTATCGAT